GTCTAATGTGGAACCATTCATACAAAGTACCAACATGGGTTTATTTTAAGAATATAAATATCAAAAAGATTATTAGTTCTGAACTTCCAAGGTCCCGTGAGCTCATCAATGACATGATGACTTGCATGGTTATTTGCTATTAGTTTTTATAATTTTCATGCGAGAATTTTAAAAATCGTGTTTAAAAAACTATAGAACTTGTGTTCGTCAAAGCCATTAGAGGCCTTGGAGGAATTATTTTGCACTTTAACTTTTTAACATCTAGGTTCTTGTTAAGAAAAAAAAAACCAAAAGATGAGAAACATAAGATTTTTTTACGGGGTTGAAAATTTGTATGATTTATATACAAATAATATAAAACAAAATATATAAATTCAACACCGATTTTACCATAGTATTAACAAAAAAAAATGCCCAGCTCCAAAATGCGTAAAAAAGAGAGGAGCAATTGATGTAGTACACAAAAATGTGTCTTAATAATCTTTTCAATAACTGTTCCACTACGGTATATCTACTCATGTTCAAAAGCGAGACCTGGTACCTTGTAATATTTGGCAACCATGTTAAGAGTATCTCCAATGTGTTTCCCTATAATTATCTCTAAAATAGAGTAAAAAATAGGATTTCTCTATTTTCTCTCCAATGTATGATTCTATTTTAGAGAAATGCTATTTTTTCTTGTCTTTTAAGATATGACAAAAAAAATCTCTATTTTCATCGCCAAATATAGAGAAAAAGATAGCAATTTCTATTATAGATATGAAAATAGAAATGTGTTGGAGTAAATTTGACTCTAAACTCTATTTTAGAGATGAAAATAGAGATGCGTTGGAGATAGTCTAAGGTTTTATATTTCTCAATATATTCATTGCTCGCTCTAACAAAGAAGTAGTTTCTAATAAGGTTACTTTTATATGAGGGCATAATATATTTGTATATGACGAAAGATATACAACATGAGATTTTGTGCTTCTTCCTCCTTGCAAGAAATAGATTTCTTTAGCATGAACACCAAGACTGATGAACCTACTCCGATTACA